CTGGGCCAGCAGCCTGGTGCTGCGTGGCCCTGCCCCTCCCTGAGTGCCGAGCCCCCTCTCGCCCCGGCAGGTCCTCACCCACCTGCGCTTCATGTCCCACATCTGCATCGGGGTGCTCATCGGGCTGCTCTACCTGCACATCGGCAACGACGCCGGCAAGGTCTTCAACAACACCGGCTTCCTCTTCTTCTCCATGCTCTTCCTCATGTTCGCCGCCCTCATGCCCACGGTGCTCACGTGTAAGGCGCTCCCCGGCCCCCGTGAGCCCCAGCACGGCACGGCGGGCCCCTGGGGCTTCCTGTGCTGCGCTGAAACACCTACGCCAGCGACGCAGCGGGCTGGGGCTGGGGTGGCGGCAGCGGGGCAGGTGGGGCCAGCCAGCAGGGCAGGGTGAGCTGGGGCTACGCTCGGAACTGGCACTAGGGGCAGGAGGAGCTGAGGCGGCCCAGGGGCGCCCCTGGGGTGTCCGTGGAGGAGCCCCGGCTGGTAAGGGGTCAGCTCGGTGCCCTGTGCAGATAGGGGGCGCCGGGGCCCTGCCCCACTGGTGGGCTCAGGTTGGATTCCACGAGTGGGGAGCCCCTAGCTGTGGCTGCAGACTCCAGCCAGGCCCGGGAGAGGCTGAGGCTGGGAGCGACGGGCAGGGGGTGGAGCGTAGGTCGTTCCGGGCCCCGTTCGGTCCTTGGCCAGGCGCCCGAGGGAGCAGGTGCATCGTGGATCAGAACCAGCCGCAGCCACGTGGCTCCAGGTGGGCTCAGCTGTGGGTGAGGAGCCGGGGAGTGGGGGTGGAGCTGCGGGCGCTAGAATGGGGCCGGCGCCGGGCCCCACTTGCTGCTCTTCTGCTGCACCCCTCTGTCCCTGCAGTCCCTCTGGAGATGTCGGTGTTCCTGAGAGAGCACCTGAACTACTGGTATAGCCTGAAGGCCTATTACCTGGCCAAGACCATGGCAGACGCCCCCTTCCAGGTGAGGACTCAGCACGGCGGCGGGGGAAGGGGTGCGAAATAGGCTCTCCTAGGTTACGCTCCAGGCGGCCCTGCCTACAGGGAGATCCAGAGCTGGCTTCTAGGTGCCTGCCGCTCCTTGCACGTCGGACCCCTGTGGAGAGGGGCAGAGATGGGGGTTCGCAGAGCTCGGGGGGTCCCTGCCCTGTGGAGCGAGAGGCATAACGCGGCCCATTGGGGCTCTTGGGGCCACAGAGCAGTGCTGCAGGGGGGCAGAGACCCCGGTCACACAGGCTCAGACGTAGTGGAAATGGGTCCCGCTGAACCG